CCTGCTTACTGACCGCTTCAGTGGGGGTTTTCTTCAATTTGCTTCTGTCAACCTTCATGGTCACTAATTTCTACACTCGATTCCTACAGAGAACACATCAAATGATGAGAGAGAAGCTCAGTCAAATGAACAGTGAATAATACTCATCTACATGCCACCACGTGACATTTAAGCTTAGCATTGCCAGAGTATCACATATGAAAAAAGACCAAATGACTTTTCACACTTAAAAAGTTAATCCTGGCTCATTCTAAACCTGGGTAAACAAAATTCTAGGTTATCTTGTTTCATACTTCTCATACTTTACCCGAATTTCATCCTGGGTTTTCATAACATGACATTTCACACAGTACATTCCTAAACCCTGTATTTATGTACTTATTATCAGTGTCACTGATTAGATGGAAGCAGCACACAATCTGTTTACATAAAGCCTCTAGCATTGTGAATCCTCAAATTATGGCAAACTGTACTATCAAGATTTTCCTGAATGGACTTTTCAGACTACAAAGGTAAGATTGAAATGATCTCTTTGACACACTGACACATTTTCCGTCACCATTTGGCATTTCCCCCACCAACATACTACTGTTTAGACAACACAGTGTTTCTGTGACTGTCTAAAGCCGGGGTGCCTAAACTCGGTCCTGGAGGGCCGGTGTCCTGCAGAGTTTAGCTCCAACTTGCCTCAACACACCTGCCGGGAAGTTTCTAGTATGCCTAGTAAGAGCTTGATTAGCTGGTTCAGGTGTGTTTAATTGGGGTTGGAGCTAAACTCTGCGGGACACCGGCCCTCCAAGACTGAGTTTGCTCACCCCTGGTCTAAAGCATGTGAAGCACAAGATGTTTGTTGCTAAGCATGTAACCGTAACATTCAAACACCACAATGGTTCACACGGCACAAGTGTGGTACCGCAAAGTGTGGTTAACACCACAAAAGTGGCCCTAACTCTGTTTCTAAATAATAAGTGTGAAACACTCCTTCACCTGGTGTTAAGTGAGGTTTAGAATGCAGATAACCAAGGGTTAAAGCGCAGTGAGGTGTACAATTACATATGAATAATCAAAGATCCAAATGTAGACCGAAGTGCCAACATGTTCATGCCAATGTAAACATTCATCAGCTCCATGTTTAAGCAGATACTTACGGTATATGATTTGGCAATTCCAACTTAACGGCATTTTTCATGTGCAAAACCTAAAGTAAAAAAAGATCGAAAGTGAAACAATCCCCGACAATAAACATAAGAATGTTTGTGATCTTGCTGCCAAAGGCAAAAACTCTCAGAAGGCATTAATGTAAAACTAGGCTATATATATCAAAAAAAATATTCTTCTAAATGGTCAAAAACAATCCCATACTAATTAGCTGTAGAATAAAAATCAAGGTCAGTGGAAAGAAAACTGTCAGACTGAAAGTCTGAGAGCAAGCCAAGGGAAAAGCAACCCACATTGGTTCAGATATGGGGCATCGATTCTGGGCACAGACAATCCCTAGCATCTCACCAACACGTCCTTACTGAATTTAACCAGTTAAATTGCTCTTTTTGAAACAAGAGGCTGTTAATGTAGCGTTCTTAGAAACCTACTGGCTCCTTGTAAGAAACCAAACTTATTTAGGACCTTGAACCCGACCAAAGAGAAGCACTGGCCTGTGATCAAAGAACCTGACATGGAAAAATGAGCCCACACATTTGACAAATTTTATCTATCTATGCCATTTAAACAAACTTAATTACTAAAGAAAGACACTAATTTAGTTCTTGACAGAGAACCAAAGTGTGCTGTAGTCGAGAGAACAACACAGCAGCTAGTTACCGAATACCGAAAATTACAATGACATTAGCTAGCCGGAGCGTTCACCTTAAACGAAACTATAACGCCGTAAACAAACAAATTTAAGTACAAGTGAAAGTAACACAACCACTCTGGAAATAAACCAATAACTCGAAATGTCATTTCATTAACTATTTCTAACGAAAAGACGACAGAAAACGGAGTACAATTCGAGGAAAAAGACAGCTAACATGCTAGCTAGTTATTTCCTTGCTAAAAAGCTAACGTTACCTCAGTCAGCAAGCTAAGTTTTGCGGATAAACATAGTCACGACATTCCTATTAAACGGCGCAAATAAAACAATGATCGCCAGTTTTTGAATAAACTGTAAGGAATTACCGTAAGCGGACTGTGGGAAAATTTGACCGTTGATTGTGAGCTCGCGAGCTACTAGGCACCAAGCATATAATTCCCCTCAACATGTCAACACAAACCCGCAATCCCTCTACTCACTGTTGAAATCTCATCCAAAGCCCCTCTTTTCCAACAAACACTCGCCAAATCCTTAATATGCGGCTCGACTGTGGCGGAACTCGTCAGGAGCGAAGCTACACAGGTCCATATTTTTCCTCCAAGCTGCTCACATGCTCTGGACTAATCTAGAGCCCGGCTCAGCCGGCCTGCTCCGGCAAACCCGCTCACTTCCCTCAGAACTCTAGCTCACAAAAACGGCGTCTGTCACAGAGCTTACACGCCGACACAACCGTACCGTAGCGTATATTATCGCACATCTTCAGCAAGCGCTTCGTCTCGATGAACTGTGGCCGGCGAGGCGCGCGCGGTGGCGACTGACGAGATGCTCGTGCATGTGTTGGTTAGTTTAGAAACGCAGAATATCTCGCTGAATCATTCCCCACTAGGGCCTACCATAACACTGACTTCCAGTGGACGGCTCAATTTCTCGCTTTTTACTGCTGCACTTGTGCGTAGCTGCATTTGGGGCGAACGTAGCGTGTCACACATGATGCTAAAGTCTACTTTATCAAATTAAAAACACATTTATCTGAAATAATACTTACAAGTATTAAATACTGAAGGTTTGAGATATGATGGAATTTGTCAGCCTAACTTTAATTTAAAGAAAAGTTAATGCATTTTGCAATCAATCAGTCTGGATATTTTTTCTTAATGCACTACATTAAGAGATAATAATGAACCATATGAAGTTATGGTATGAAATATATATTTTCCAAATATAAGTTTTATTCATTCTAATATTATTTCACTTAATAACTAGTCTGAAAATGAATTTATTACACTTATGGAATGACTGAAATTAGATTTTAATATTTTTTCTCATTCATTGGAAACGACTGTTATACTCTATACTGTAGTTTGGAATTAACAGGTTTCATTTCTTCCTATCATCAGCAACAGTTTACACCATAAAACAAGACAAACAGGGTGGAATGTTCACAAATACATACTGTACATACATCAATGTGATGTAGATTTTTTTGGAAGGGGGGCACTTTACAACATCAGTTAGGGTCAATTTGGTTACACTGACCCATATTATCCATCAGCAGTAATCTCTATAATAGATCATATGAGACAGATTTCTGGGGGTGCATTGGGGAATATAAACAGTGGATACTTCTCTGATAGAAAATGTTATACTATAACTGGACAACATAACAGATTACCGAGGACGGAAATATGTAAACCCCTAAAGGCCAAATAAGAGGAATGTAGGTGTCAAGACTGTTGCTGGACTTGACGACTCAGCATATTTATGGGTATGAGCATCCATATCCAGAGTACACAACGTCTGAAGCCTAATTTTAAGGCCGTGAGGACTGAAAATGCATAAATCCAACACAAAAATTCATATTGTGCAACTCATTTATCACATAGGCACATGCTACCACATTCACATGCTCTTTTCGTCGTGATCCCTTTACAGAACCATATGAGTGCATCCGCCAATTCCCCATAATCTTCACTCATGTACGTTTATTACATTTCATTTTAGAGATTCTGCCTACGGAAAAATAGATTTCGTAAATAGATTTCAGTCTATGCGCGCGCACATCGCGCATACAACACACCACAATGCTCGACAGTCTGACTGCAAATTAAAAATGGCGGTTTATATTAGCAAAGTGTCTGGTCTTTCCATCCAAAACACTTATTTTAACCACAGTATACGCGTACAATTTGCGAGAAAACCCGTCCGATAGTGTTAACGGTCATGTAGAATCAGCCACAGACGTCTCCACCTAACAAAGACTAATTTAAGCTCTTACCTCGGTTGCGCCTCAACATAACTTCTCCATTTTACAGCAGCGAGTGGGGATATAAATCTCGCGATATTTCAGTTGGCTTCCTCTGCTCCAATAGTAACCTGCTGTGGTCACGCAGACCAGCCCCTTCAGTGATCTGCTCCTAGACAGGCGAACTGAGCGATATAAAATATGATCAGTATTCATCAGTATAATAAGAAATATTTCTGTATGATAATCCATTTTCGGTCATACATGGCTCGCTTCTTTGTGCATCGTCAGATACTCAAAAAGCACTGTCAAAAAATAAAACAGTTGCAAACAGGATAAAATAATACAAATAATGATTAAATTTTAAAATGTGCATGCCTATGTCACAGATTCACACCCTGAATCCCAAACAGCAAAGGCGTTTGCCATTATAATGTAAAATATTCTTAAAATGTCTTGCATGTGCTTTAGAGATATAATTATTAATAAAAGTTATCAATAACTCTAAGGCCTCTATTGTCAAAGTTAATATTCGATTAATTCCCTCCAAAACAGTGAATGCCCCTATTGTATTTCTGCTAAAATTAGGCTATAACAAAAACATGAATTTGTTTTCAGATTTTTTTACTAGGCCTACCACACACTAGGGCTGTCTATATATTAAAACAATTAATCTTGATTAATTTCAAGAATTTGCCAATAACACCAGTTTACACACAGTTGTTTATGGGACGAATTTAAGTTGTGCTTAATTTGCCAGAATTTCATGCTGCAGTGAATTTTTTTTTCTCTAAAGCAAAAATTAACGAATTATCTAAATATAATTGTTTATAAATAATTAAGATATTGTGTCCCCTCTGCATGATGAGAACCAGTCACATAGTGACTCCTGCCAGTAGGTGGCAGCAAAAAGCTGTTTAATGGTCAGTTTTTAGTACATAACCGATTCCACAAATAGAAGAAGAGTGTTGTCGTAGCAACTGAAGCTTAACGTTATAGCGAAAGACTGTCCACAGGTTTTGGAGATAAGTATAACTGTTGCCAAAAAGCGTTATATTTAGGTTCTGCTTTGTCATGTGTTAGAAACAAACTTACTTTCTGCACGCCAACTGAACTATATTAGCAGGTTTTAACACCTTTTAGAGAGCTGGTACGTACATCTGCGGTTAGTGTCACAACTTTTCTGTAAACCGCGAATTTACAAGATGCATATAAAGGCTTTATTGCTATGTTCGTTTGCACAGTTAATTCTCGCATGATGTTGTTTTCTGTTTAGTTCAATGTCGGTGGTAAGCAGTCTGGTGCCAGCCCGTTTCCTGACTCTCATCGCGCACCTTGTAATAGTCATCATCATATTCTGGTCCCGGGTAAGAACTTCTCCTGTGTTTAATCACTGTTGTATCGCAGGATATCATTGCTGTCAGGTCTGTGATTAAGTGTTGAACCGTCATCCCACAGGAGAACAGTGTCAGAGCCTGCCTACCACTGGATTACACTAATGAAGAATACAGCTTAGAGGACACACGGTACGTTAACATGCCTTGTGCATTCTCAATTGCTTCACAAGTATGTAGGCCAATGACAAGTACATTTTTTTTCCCAGGATTCTTTGATTAGTAAAAAGTAAAAAAAAAATATATATATTTTGTATCACTTTTGATCAATTTAGTGCATCTTTCCTAAATAAACATATTAAATTCCCCAAAGTTTAAAAAACCCTAACTTAAAAAACTCTATTTAAGGATCACAATGCAGCCCCCAAAACTAATTACCTGTCATTTTAAATCTTTACCAATCTTTGCCACTATCCTTCAAACCACCAGGTTTTACCCATATGTCAGCAAGAAGTTTTTAATAATTTAAAATATAATAAAATTTAGTTTGATCACTTTTTCTTTTATACATTTTATAAAGTACAGGTCAAAATATGTTTTTTTTACATTAATATATATCTGTTAATGATGATGGAACATTATTTCACCCATATTTTTTTTCCCACAAAAATTATTTGAACATTAAAGTAGACACTTTACTTGCATTTAATATGCTTTCTATGTATATAAAATCACTTTTGTAAATTTATTTTGATGTGGATACCAAAATGGGATGTCTCATATATATATATATATATATACTCATTAATCTTCTTCTAACCATTTTTTTGGAGGGCAGCCTTGTAGTGGCATTATCTGTGACCCTGGGCCTGTTTGCTGTCGAGCTGGTTGGGTTCCTCTGTGGAGTCTCTATGTTCAACAACAATCAAGCTCTTCTATGTATCCTTACCACCACAGGCTCAACTTACTTGGTTGTCCACTTCAGAAGATGGATATCTTTACCTTTATTATCCTAGAGCAGTCCAAAAACGAATGCAGTTCTTAATGCAGTGTTTGACCATTACATTGTATTCACAATGATAGCAGTTACTCATTTCTGGTTGTTACTGATATGCTATAATCAAATTACTGGAACAGATTTTTATTTAACCATCACTTTGTAGCTATTGGATGTCACGCTAGTGGCTCTGTGGCTTTGCTCTTCTTCTTGTTTGAGCAATGGACCTGCAGCATCTACTGGTGGATCTTTGGCTTCTGTAGGTCAGTCAGTAAATAAGTAACAGTCAATGCATTACTGTGAATATAAATGGTCTTATTAATAAATTCTCTTTAAATTAGTCTTTTAAGAAACTTTTTGCAATCATGTTTTCTCTCTACATTTCAGTGTGATTCCAGCACTATATGAGATGACCCTTTTTGTTGTAGTGTTTGGATTTAAGAGGAAGCCTCTATGAGGATCTCTGCCCTCTTGGTTCAGGCGGATATTGTCCTTCCATGACTGACGTACCAGAATATCCTGAAACCAGAATAATATTCACAGGCACAATAAATTAGCATTTTCCATGAGTTCTTAGATTGCTAAATTATGTTTGAAGACTTTTTGACGGTTTTATGTGGTTACAAATAACTGCTTTAAATTTCTTTCTTGAAAATATCGCATCTTGTACACATTGTGATGAATTAAAGCATGTTGTATTTTGATACAACTGACCGACAAACTGGGCCTGTTCATTCTTCACATTTTTCAACATTTTTAGTACCCTAAAAACTGTTAATTATAAGCACAGGCAATATGAATTTTACTTTTTTACTTAATTTATACTAACTGCATTCCCCAAATTCATACTAAAAACAAGATTTTGTCATCATTTACTCATCCTCGTGTCATTCTAAACCTATATGATCTACTTTCTGCTGTGAGGGAAAAAGATATATATTTTAAAGAATGTTTTTTCAACTGTTTTTGTCCAAATAGTGGACAAAAGAACATTGGACCCCATTGACTTTCCTTTTAAGGACCATAACAACCACACTTTTTAAATATTTTGTTTTGTGCTCCACAAAAGAAAGAAAGTCAAATAGGTTTAGAACAACATGATGTAAATTATGACACAATTTTGGAGTGAATTATGAGTATAGGGTATTTCATTTTTCCAGGGTGAGAGAAACATTTGGAGTGAACACTGAATGTGACTCTGTAATCATGATCTGTTGACATTTCAGCTGGAAGTGGAAGGTGGGTAACTCCAGGAGAATGAGAGTGAGAATTAGCCAACCATCTGCTTAAGTCACAAGATGCGCTGTAACTTTAACAAGTTATCATTTTTATTTCAAGCATAATTGCCAGTCTGTAGCCTATATTTGCTGCACTCCTTATTGTAGCTTAAAATAACCCATTTTAAAAGTTAAACCCACGATAGAAAAAAGGAGCAGTAAGAAGAGAGAAGTTCACCACGGAGTATTTCATGTGACTCCAAATACCTCCATTATGTATTCCATCGGCTTACAAGGGTACATTTATATTTATGTTCTTAGCAAACATCAAGGTGTTTGTTGATATGCTGTAGAACTGCCGAGAAGTTAGTCCTTCACAGGAGTGATGAGTCCGTGAGCCTGCGAGGCACATGCTGAGCTGAGCATAGCTGACTTCAGCTGGACTGCACACACTCTTTCATTAAGATGGATGAAAACACACAAATAAACAGTGACAGTCACTACACTCCTAAAAGGTTCCAAAAGGGGGGTTTTGCAGAAATGCCATAGAAGAACCATTTTTGTTTCCCCAAAGAAGTAGAACCATTTTTTTGTGCAAATAACTTTTTTTTTTTTTTA